TGTAGTGTATGTGTACTGGCTATATGTAGTGTATGTGTACTGGCTATATGTAGTGTATGTGTACTGGCTATATGTAGTGTATGTGTACTGGCTATATGTAGTGTATGTGTACTGGCTATATGTAGTGTATGTGTACTGGCTATATGTAGTGTATGTGTACTGTCTATATGTAGTGTATGTGTACTGGCTATATGTAGTGTATGTGTACTGGCTATGTGTAGTGTATGTGTACTGGCTATATGTAGTATATGTGTACTGGCTATATGTAGCATATGTGTACTGGCTATATGTAGCATATGTACTGGCGTAGGAAGGGGTGCGAATGGCGAGGCACGCCCCGGGTGGCACGTTTTTTGTATATATTTCGGGGCGAAATTTTTAGCCAACTCCAGAGTTTCTTCTCGCGGGAGGAAGGTGGCAAAAATATTTTTTGCGCCCTTCGGGCGCCGATAACCCAGCTACGCCACTGAGTATAAGTATTGTAGCTCTCTGTCTGGTTCTCCATTCTCTAGGCTACACATCTGAGCGTTTTGCTTCGTATAATGTTCTAAAAATTTTGGACGTTATGTAAATTTCTAACTGACATAGTTGCATGTTTGTGATCTCAGGATCGTTGTTACCTATGAATACCCTCTGCCCCATATGTTCGTCCATAACTTTATCACACAATTTTTGTTAGAGGTTGTGACAACTATAGACCAGCGTTCCCGAAATGGTGGTCCACAGAAGGGCACCGGCTGGTCCACAGAACGGCACGGCTGGTCCACTGGTCCGCCAATCTTAAGATTTGGGAAACACTGAACTGGACACTATAAATTTGGTAAAAAAAAAATCTTCAGGCAAGGAAAGAAATTTCCAAATGAAAAGGGGAAGTGGGGGAAAACCACTTTTAATTACACTTCATCTGGGTAATCTGAGAGATTGCAAGGCGAGAGCGGCAATGCGTAAAGTGAAGGCTGGCATCAGATGTAGGGGAGCTGTGCACGGCCGCTGTGACCCGAACCACCTCTCCCCCCCCCCCCCCCCAATCCCACTTGGCGTCTCAACGCTTTGCGGATACGTAATCGGACATGTCATCAAAGTCAAGCCGACCTAACCATTGAAGTACTGACGACACTCAAAGGTGAAAATGGGTGATCTCTGGCTATTATATGTATAGGAGCAGAGGTGTAGCTAGAAGACCGTATTGTGTGTGTGTGGGGGGGGGGAGAGACCTCGGGCCCCAGATCAGTTAGGGACCGCAAAAAAAAATTTAAAAAAATTGGGATGTAATGATATTTTCATAATGAAATAATGAGTTTTAGAGCTGAAAAATTGGAAAAAGTTAAAAAAAAATTTAAAAAAATTGGGATGTAATGATATTTTCATAATGAAATAATGAGTTTTAGAGCTGAAAAATTGGAAAAAGTGGGTGGGGGGGGGGGATAAATATTGAAGCTTGTCTCCGGGTGCCAAACTCTATAGCCACGCCCCTCTGCATGGGAGCAAAGAAGGAATTCCGTGTTCAGGAAAGGTGGCTGGACGGACGGATGACTCCACTGGGTGCAACTGATAGACTTTGTCACGGGATACACGTGTTAACCCTAGGGTCGCAACACCACCGGTGCCTTCCACCAAAACCGGTATTTTCGATATTAACGTTTACGAATACCGGAGTCCCGATCTTTTCGATATTTAGAGAATTGTTAGTGGAGATTAGATGTGACTCTTTAATCAATGAAAAACAAAAAAACGATCAGATAAAACTCACCTTTTGATTTTTCTCGAAGCTTTTAACAATAACACAAACTGTTGGGTTAACATAGGACCTTGAATGTTTACGTGCATGGAACGGCGATTCCCCCAAACTCGTCCATTCAACCAGCGTCAGAGACAGTTGAACTCGTCCATTCAAACCAGCGTCAGAGACAGTTGAACTCGTCCATTCAAACCAGCGTCAGAGACAGCTGAACTCGTCCATTCAAACCAGCGTCAGAGACAGTTGAACTCGTCCATTCAAACCAGCGTCAGAGACAGTTGAACTCGTCCATTCAAACCAGCGTCAGAGACAGTTGAACTCGTCCATTCAAACCAGCGTCAGAGACAGTTGAACTCGTCCATTCAAACAGCGTCAGAGACAGTTGAACTCTTTTTTTCTTTCAG